GTCCTATCCAGTGGTGGGATTCAAAACTTTTTACTACCGGTTCTGTGGGCATGGCGTGGCTTTGTGTGTGTGGCTTTGTGGGAATGGCAGGGGAAGAGAAGGTGCTCTTCTCTGCACTCTATCTAGAGTCCCAACATTTTTTTTAATGTCATGGTGAGCAAAACTGGATGAAGTTAATCTGTAGTTAGTCCATAGCTGAACTGCTGGCAAGGAAGCTGTCACCAAAAATGGGATTTAATGAACAAGTGCAGTTTTTTTGGCAGCAAAACAGACGTGGTTGGCCTCTGCCTCCTCCTGGAATTTATTTATTTACTTTCTAGCCCAGCTTCCTGCAAGGTCAGATCCTGCTTAGTTTCAGAGCCAGGCAAAGTCCAGTCTCCCTCCCTCTCTCTGATGCCACAGGAGCAGTAACAGTTTCATATTAACAAAACAGAGGCACTGCTAAAAGTGGAGGCAAAATTTAATAATCAGAACTGAAAATGCCATGTTTCCCACCCAAGGGGATTTTCCAGGAAATGGCAAATATAAGATTTAGTGACTTGCCTCTCAAACCATCACAAAACAATTTAGTGGCTGAGTTCATAGCACATTGAATCACCAGCTCACCTGGTGTACAAACCTAATTTAACAGGCACTTTCAAAGAGAGACCGGACGGCAAGGGGTGGGACTAGAAAACCTCCAAGGCCCCTTCCAATTCTGTTATTCTGCTCATAGTCCAGTCTATGATGTGAATTTGCCCACTAAAACAGTTTGCTTCACGTCATAGCATTTTAAATTTCCCCTATTCTTTTTTCTTATTTTTCTTTTTCTTTCTTTTTCTCTCTCTCTTTCTGTGTTAGAGAGGGGAACCCCTTCCCCACGGCAAATTAGAAAAGAAAGAAATAGCAACCACTACATTCAAAGTTGAGAGGGACTGAGAGGCATGATTACTGGTCAGCATACATTTGATATTCCCCAGCCCAGACACCCCTGGTTCAATAGACGGTTGAGAAGAATTACAACACAAAAAAAGTATATTTTCATTATTTTTTTTAATTGAAAGGATAATAAAAAAAATTTCTTCATATTGCTTCAACAAAATGAGACAGCAACCTGCTGGGATAATGCTTTTTTTTTTTTT